TTTATGGCTTATAGAATTAACATGATCTTATATATTGTATTTTTTCTTAATTTTGTTTTCAATTCTCTTTAGTAACAAAAGAAGATTTCTACTAAATGTAACGAATGTAAATACAAATTAATATATTGAAATTTGTGCAACCACATTTTATGTATTGATACATGATAATCATCTTAATTCATTACTTAAATCTTTAAATACACCTGAAAAAAACGTTTGATTGACATGTTATTCACGCACTATAGTTGGGCTACTATTATTCTATTAATAAGCCAACTGTCAAAACTTACAATAATACAAATAAGTTATTTCGCAAGTACATAGAATTTCCTGTCGATCTTATATTAAGAATACAAACAGAATTTGGTTCCTTGTTACTAGTTAGTGTACATTTAATATATTACTAAATTTTTAAGAAACTATAATTTTAGGCTTTCTTAAGTTCAAAATAGTTAGTATATATTCATTAATAACTTACTTACTTCTTATGAAAGTTTAATTTGAGTCTTTTTTAAGGTTCTAAATTAGTAAATAGTTTTTAAAGCACGGCATGTTATGAAAAATGGACATCCAGAACAAAAGAGGATAAGAAATGTTTGTGACAACAATACGTAAACAAAAAAATATTCTTAACAAAAAAATGTGATTTAATGAAGTTAAAAAAAAATGCGAAAAATATTGAATATGTAAGAATCCTGGGATATTAAGTTTTCCACAGCAAAAAAGAAAATGAAAATGACAACGAGAGAAAAGTATGACTATTGGTCCCCAAAATGTTCCTTTTCCAAAAACGAGAAGCATTTTTTTTAATTGTTATTCGATGTGAAAACAAAAGTTTTGTGTCTTCACGATTTAGGAATACATTAAAAAATCTGCATCAAAATTCGAAAGGAACTGATATTAGTATGGCTTGGATATAATAAGATTTTTAAATGAATATTGTATTGAAGGAAGAAATTTCTAAAAGTAACCCCTACATCCCCCTGCACCATCAAACATGAGCACAAAGTGCAACTGCCACTTTACACCCTCAAACACACTATGCACCGATGTAGTCTCTTTGGGTCCACGGGCAAAAAAAGTTGTTTGCGCTCTCCGGGTCCAAAGTATTTTTCTACCCTAGGATCCAAAGTGGTTTTTTGGGCGTAAAGTGTGCCTACAGGCATGAAATTGCACTTTGTACCCTCACTAAGAAAAGCATTATACGCGACATGGGCACCAACATACAACATTCAGGCCCTTCAAGCACTTACGTTTGAACTTTGTTCCCACTTAATATTCTTTGTACACACTAACATAAGTATTCTCATATTTGATATACGTGTGTATATTATTTTATGTGATGAATTTATTTTGCCACCACTACCACAAATGCCGCCATTTACAAGAATCAGTAATTTGCAGGGGAAGAGGGAGGGGGTGCAAGTAAGTACGTATAATACTAAAATTATTTTGCCCCCTACGCCCTCACATTCATCCAAATATTCCCAAGGCTAGCCGAAATCATCCAGATAGTTTTTTATACGTACTAAATAAAATGCGCCACTACTGCCACTGCTGCTGTCATGCATGCTGTTACATAAAGCAAGTCTATCCACGCAATTTCCCTACGCCAAAGCACTTGTGCAAACATTTCCAAGGTTGGCCGAAATCAACCGAATCGTCCATTATCTCTTTATATTACTAGGGGATTTTTACCCTTTTACTCGCTATGCTCACCAATTCTCTGTGAGCAATTATCGTTTGGTTCTCATCAGGATCTTAATAATGCCTTACTAATCTTAACATCTCTTTACTTTATAAAGTTATTTTACTGCTACCACCATGTATATTAATCAGAAATTTAACAGACTGTAGGAAAAAGGGGTATAGGAGTTACAAGAGGAATGTATTTTTCCGCCCTCGGGTGGTTTTGGGAGGCTGGTACTTCCTCGGGCGAAAAAGCAGTTTTCCGGAACTCGTTCGAAAAGTCTCCTTTACGAACCTCGTTACGTCCCTCGCCTTCGGCTCGGGCCGCAAACCTCTCGGTTCGCAAACAGAGACTTTTCAAACTCGTAGGAAAACTACTATTAATACATAACAAGTTATTTTGCCACCGACACTGACACCATTACTATGTACAGGAATCAGCAATGGAAGATAGAAATCAATGTTATAACTAATTTTGCTGTACATAAATAATGTAGCAATTGTTTCTAGCAAAATTTTCATTCAAATTTCATTTTGTATTTGGTTTTTGTAATTTCATTTAGTTTGGTTGGTTGTCGATGGTTGAAATTTAAATTTTCTAAATCTTAACAAAAAGTTTTAGTAGTTGAAATGTGTTGAACCAGAAAAGTAGAAATAAGCTTTCTTTTAAAAATCACGAAAAAAGATTAGGACGTTTTAAATGATATAAACCATTCAAATATTTGTAAAAAATCAGTCACACATACATGACAGATGATCAAGAAGATTTAGGACGATTTACGAAAAGTCGGTTGGACGTGAGCTACAACCTACTGTTTATATTTCTTGCAGGTGTGCAAAGCAGCATTAAAACTGACATGCACATTATCCTGACTTTTATTTTTAAAAAGCTGAATTAATAACTACTTGATGCAGAACACTTAAAAAACTCTTTATACTTTTAATACTTGTAAAAAACATCATTAGGGTGCAGTTGATATAATGAAAAAATCCTGTAGTTCAAATTTATTTAAAACTGAAAGGTGCAACTTAAAATAAAGCAAGTTAAATATTTTTTTTCCTTATTTCAAAATAATACGACACCAAATTACATACGTGTGATTACTGATAGGTAATTTTACGCAAAAATAATAATCACATGAAATTTTTTCGTTAAGATCGTTTAATCTGTACACACTAGAGAGTTTGACAAGAAAGGTTAACGACATACCAATTTTTTTATAACATGGATACTAATCATAAACTATTAAATTGCTAAGATGGTAAAGTAGATAAATCTTCTAAAATATCTTACAATAGAGAAAATTAAAATAAATTAATTATAAAACACCTGCTTCAGAGTCTCTGAAACAAGATAGTTTGTGCTTGGAAAGACAGTAAATACTTTGTAAAAAAACACATATTTACAACAATTTGTGAAATTCAAACCATAATAATAAGAACAATTTATAATGAACCTAGAAAAATGACAATCGTCTCAAAAAATAATATTGATACAAAAAAAATTCAAAGCAAAAAAATTTAAGTATATAGTTTTATGGCTTATAGAATTAACATGATCTTATATATTGTATTTTTTCTTAATTTTGTTTTCAATTCTCTTTAGTAACAAAAGAAGATTTCTACTAAATGTAACGAATGTAAATACAAATTAATATATTGAAATTTGTGCAACCACATTTTATGTATTGATACATGATAATCATCTTAATTCATTACTTAAATCTTTAAATACACCTGAAAAAAACGTTTGATTGACATGTTATTCACGCACTATAGTTGGGCTACTATTATTCTATTAATAAGCCAACTGTCAAAACTTACAATAATACAAATAAGTTATTTCGCAAGTACATAGAATTTCCTGTCGATCTTATATTAAGAATACAAACAGAATTTGGTTCCTTGTTACTAGTTAGTGTACATTTAATATATTACTAAATTTTTAAGAAACTATAATTTTAGGCTTTCTTAAGTTCAAAATAGTTAGTATATATTCATTAATAACTTACTTACTTCTTATGAAAGTTTAATTTGAGTCTTTTTTAAGGTTCTAAATTAGTAAATAGTTTTTAAAGCACGGCATGTTATGAAAAATGGACATCCAGAACAAAAGAGGATAAGAAATGTTTGTGACAACAATACGTAAACAAAAAAATATTCTTAACAAAAAAATGTGATTTAATGAAGTTAAAAAAAAATGCGAAAAATATTGAATATGTAAGAATCCTGGGATATTAAGTTTTCCACAGCAAAAAAGAAAAT